TTGTTGAATCGCTCGTGGCTCAGTGCTGTAATGACATTTTTAATTAAACAAGGTGTCTGTTGACAGTGTAAGCAAGCTCGTGTTTTAGAATTCAAATTTATTTTTAAGAACATATAAGAAGTTAAATTTTGGTGCATGTTTTTGTGCTTTAGATTCAATTTATTTTTTTTCCTTTACGTTTGTTTGTTTAAGTCACCGAGTAATCTTAGTCGGTACGCGCTGTCCTGGTTCGAATACCAATAACCTATAAAATGCCATGCCCGTATGAACGAGCGTACACGATGTGTGTGTGTGTCGTGTGGTGCTTGTAGTGTATATACAGCCTTTGTGGCACGAAAGTTTAACTACAAGTGCCGCATAACATGTAAGCAGTTTTGCTTCTGACAGATCTGCTCTGTAAAGAATAAACAAAAATATTGTAGAGAAAAAATTATCAACAACAAAAATACGAAAAATTTATTTCCATCGTTTATCAGGTATTAATTCCTCAACAGAGTAAATTTTTCACAATAAGAAATAAAATATATAAATGTTGGATAAGTAAGCATTAATAAAATTTAAAAAATAATAAAATTGATTAAGAGATTTTTAAAAGTTTTCTAGTCGCTTGTAGTAATACAATGTGCCAAAATCTGAACTAATAAATTTACATGTCTCTATAGCTGAAGATGATTGAAGCAATTTATTTATTCTACTCGACCAGATGTTTGTGCGTGCATTTTTCTGTTCAGTCTGTTGTTGTGAGTTGTCTTGCTCAGAGTTTGGCAACTTTCATTTTCAGAGTGAAAAATAAATTTAAAAAAAAGGATCCCCAAAGCAGTAAAATGTTATTTCAGTGTTCCTAATATGAAAAAAAAACATTTCACTTAAAATCAGCTGATCAGACGAAAATTATAAAAAAATATATATCTATCAATATAAATTAAAAAAAAGAATAACAACTATTAAAATATTCACAATAGATTTAATATCAAATCCTGATGAATGACAATTATTTTTCAAAAGGCCAAAACGATTACCTTAAGGTAATTTAATAATTCTACTGAGAAAAATGGCCATCCTTCATATCAGCGATATTTTAATATAAAATATAAATATATATGTAAATATAAAAAACAACAACAATAGCTACAACAGCAGCAACAACAACAACAACATCAACAACAGCAACAGCAGCAGCAACAATAATAACATTGTAATATTTTATTTGTATTAGTGCCAACACGAATTTTATAGTCTAATAATATTATGAACCGTTAATGTGTACGAGACGTCAACAGCATTATTGGATTAGTATGAAGTAAGGAAACGATATTACGAACGAGACAATCAAACATTCTTATAACGAACAAAAATACAACAAAAATCTCTATATAACGAACGTTCCTTAAAATTTTACATGTAAAATTGTTTCTATACAATGAAAATAATTTCCCAACAACAAACGAAATTTCCAAAGTTGAAAGAAATCTCCTAGAACTATACTTATTGTTTCTTCTTCGAGTATTCTATTAAGTAAAGGGCTTAGTTCAAAGTGACATGTGACCCATTTAAAAAAAATTAATTAGACATAGTAAAGGTATTATGTAATGTAAGTACACACATATAATATTAGGTTTTTTTCCATATTTTTTGCAATAATACAGTGTATTATTAAGCGGTTGTTTTTCATAAAAAATAGCCTATAAATACCTTTTAAGCAATATAGAATTTTCTTCCAAATCAATTTCACGCAGATCAAAAAAATCAAGTTTCTGCTTAAATGCAATTTTCATATCAAAAAATTAGTTTCAATTAAAAAGTACAGGACAATTGATGGCTACTTTATTTTTATATGTTCCAATCCAACAGGGGCGAATTCTTACTACTAATTAAATGTTTTAAAAAATGTAAAATAGATTTTTAAATGAATGAAGAATGCAATTCATGCCCATACGAATTTCTTTTATAACAATCAGTGAAAGAGTAAATGTGTTTCGTTTGGAAAAAATTCGCTGAATGGCGCTTAATGAGAAGCGTCAAAAAAAAGGTGAAACAATTTCTGCATTCATATCATTTCCGTCACGATGACGACATTTTTGTTAGAACGAGACTTTTTCACGAAAGAAAATTATTAATTTTAATGATTTAATGTTGCAATCATTTTTTTCAATGTTGGGTACATCTGCCATGGCGAGATTATTTTAAACACTTAGAAAACAAAATTAAATGAACAGTAATATTAGTATTTATTTTTTATCATCATGTGTTTCATTAGTTTTAAGACGAATGCGTCTACCTGTGTTATCACAGTCAGCTTGTTGATGACATTAAAAAAATCATCATTCAAATTGTAATCATGGCAAGCAGGTTCACAAACTCACTATATGTAGATTTAACATTTAAAAGAGGGTTTCGTTTTCAAACAAATAAATTAAAACTTATTTTCTTTTTCAAAAAGTTTTATTAGATGAAACATTTTTACTTGAACGAATTGAAGATTAATTGTTTGTTTGCTAGAATGGCGAGTTTGTTTGATTAAAGTGTTGTGTTGTGAGTTGAATTGCATGAATGAACAGCTCGTAACTACCAACACCGATGTTATAACTTCAATGATTTCTATATTTCCAACACCAGCGTTGTAGCTTCCAACGATCGTCAAGCGTTCGTTATTCCGTAGGTTCAAGATTTCCTATAGATGAACACAAGTGCTTCAAACGCAAACTTTGTTGAACGTTTATTTGAATGCAAACAGTAGTAGAAACACTAAACTACTCCAAATAACCACATAAATCGCATTTACAAATTCGCTTTCTTTGCTAGAAACCTGCCTGTAAACCCTGACTATTTACTCGCTAATATACCAGATACTCTCACAATCTAAAGATTACAATTATAGCAAAGATAACAAAGATAACAAATAATCAAGATAATTATTATGTAGCGTAGCGCTATTAGATCATTCCGGCGGTTGTAACAATAGTGCTATGAAACAGCGTAAAGTATTTAATCAATCCAACCAAACGTTTCATAAAAAATTGCTTCTATTTCTATTTTCTAGCCTTTTGCAATTCAGGCAATAACAAATATGTTAGTTGATAAAATCTTCAACATCCATCCAATTGTGTTTGTTTGGGCTATGAATCGCCTATGGATCGTTGTTGTTGCAGCAGTTGTGGTGCAACAATGTGGGAGGAAATATTAAAAAATATACTACTTCCGCTAGGGGCATAATTACCACGTAAGAATTATGATCGCAAACATAAAAGAATGCCTACAGACCTGAAATTATTATCAGAAACGTACCAATTGCGATTACAAACAAACCTTGTCTTTAAGATCATCATCGTTTTCATCATCTTTAGAATTATTCTTCTTGGTTTTCAATATCATCATCATCATCATCATCGTCAAAACAACAATAACAATAACATCATTTTCTTCCATCACAGTCAATTCCATAACATCATCATTACTGTCACAATCGTAGTCGTCGTTTTCATCATAGTCATTCATTCTTGTCTTTTGAAAATATTTTCATTTTTGTCTAATTGCTTCATCACAAGACATCAACTCCTCATTGAATAGCATCGTCAGAAACAACGTAAAAAAACATCAAACAAGAAAAACACATCATCGGGGAACTTGAAAATCTAAGGACTTATCAAAGAATACTGCTCGATATAACATGACATAGGAACTTCATTATTAACGAAATCTTCAACTAGCCACTGCACTAACAACACCAGCGTGGATGGTGGAATGCACTGAAATCAACAACTGAACAATGTCATTCTTCATTTTCAAATCATAAATACACACATACACGCACACACACACACACTTAAACAAACACACAACACAAACACAAATCATTCAAATATTACAAAACATTAAATAACGACTTTTTTACCACTCCCCCCATTCCTTAACTTCCCTACCAAATGGACTCAACCCCCGTTCCCTCTTTTTACATTACAAAAAAAATTTAATGAAAAAAACACATTTTTCATATAAATTTCATACACACATTAATTTGTTTATTTATTGCATGAAAAACTTTAAATTCAGCAGCATTCTTTTGTTTTTAGCATTAGTTTTTTTTTCTTAAAAATGTTTTAGTTTTTTATGTTGAAGTTTGTTACGTAACAAATCTCAAACCCTTATCACACCTTATAACAAAATCTTAAACCTCTTCCTTTTCATAGGAGCGTTACGTAATATTTGAACTGCCCCAAGCAACTGTATTTCTAACAATTTTGAAACATGTCTGAAGAAATTTTCAAAATTTTTAAAAATATTTCACCACATTCTTTTTTATTTCCTTAAAATAGTAAATTAAAAAAAATTTAGTGGTGCAGATGTTACTGGCTTGAAAAAAATTTTTCTTGAAATTTTTAATTAATCAGACACACCAATATAATAATGTACCCTGGTTTTTTGGTCAATTATAAGTTTTTATAAAAAATTTTTTCTTCAAATGTTTTCGTTTTTATAAAATTAATTGACACCAAAAAATAATTTTTTGCAAAACTAATCTGAATATTTTCAGATCAGTCAATCCGATATTAATAACATAATAATATTTTTGTCTGAATAAATTTTAAAAAGAATATGGCTAGCACAGCAATCAAATTGACATGCACAAAAATTTAAATTAATTACTTAACGTCACATATTTATTTGATAAAAAATAAATGACTTCACACTAACCAATCCATTCAATGTTATCTTCAAAATTCACCGAAATATATTCGGAATCAAACGAATTTTAAGTTAAGTAAGTGTACAAATGGAAGAAATAAAATAATGTCTATATAAAATTAAATTTTCAGTTTTATAAATGAAATAAACAGAGTTCGTTAGTTTTTAAACGTTGAGTTTTTATATTAAAAAATTTAATTAATCTTTAATCGTTAATTAATTGATATTCTGTAGATTTTTAAAATTTTAAAATTATTGTAATGTATGCATTGGTAGGTCGCAATGGTGAAACACTAACTCTTATAATGTTGATTGAAATGGTCGTCGGCTGCAACTGTGCAGTGGCTGTGGTTGAGGACGAGAAAGTTGACGACGCAAGAACTGCAGTGCATGTTCGCTAACAATCGTTCGCAAGACTGTTGGCATTGCAGGGTCGCATTTTAAGGTAAGCGTTTCGTTGTTGAATGCGTGAATAACGATGAGATGACGAATATGGCGATGATGATGAAGATGACAAAGATGAAGATAATGATGAAGACGACAAAGATGATGAAGATGATTAAGATGATGAAGACGACAAAGATGACTAAGATAATGAAAATGATGATGATGATGAAGATGACGAAGATGATGATGAAGATGACGATGATTGTTATGACGAAGATAATGATGATTATGATGATGATGAAGGCGAAGGAAAATAATGGTGACGACTACTTTGCGATGTAACGAAGACTAGAAAAAACATTCGATTTGGTTGAAAAAAAGAACGACAAAGAAAATGAAACCCATGACACGAAAAAATTTCGTGTAGATTGTTCAAAACGTGACGTATTGTTGCAAATAATTTTCAAGAAATACTAGCAATCCGTCAGTGTCAAAAACTCTTTCAACATGATTAAGTGTTCAAATATTTGGAAACTTGCAATACTTTGAAAGAAATTGAAGTACAGTTAATAAACTTTACGTCAATCAAATCTACCCGCTGCCTCACATTCGAGTATTGTATACTCAACAATCAAATAGTTTTCAATTTACACGATATTTTTTAAAGTTGAATCAAATTTTAACTGATTTAAAAAAATTAAACTCTTGTGTTTAAAAAATTAAAATGGCGTTAAAAATAATAAGAAATATGACAAGCACACTATTGAGCTCGTTCGAACAACGTGAACGACAGGCCATCATCGTCTCAATTGAACTGCAGAGGAGAATGCATCACGTAGATCCGCGCATAATACGAAGTAGCTGGCTGCCTATTCAAAATACATCTGGGCCAGGTAGCATGAAAAGATGTTAGGCTATTAATAAGAGTTGATTCAAATATAATTTACAACAAAATTTTTTGAACTGGTTTAAGTGGTAAAATACATTTCAGGTTTAAAAAAAATTTAAATTTCTTACAAAAAGATATATTTATCTGCCATTCTGAAATGAAAATAATATTTTTATTATTTGTACTTTAGCTCGTCTCTTGTTTTTTCATAGTTGTGGAAATATTACTATTCAGGAGAATAAAATTTAAACAGATTAACGTCAAATTGATGGAAGTTAAAATGGTGGTGAGTGAGGGTTGTTTGGAAAGCGAAAAATAAATAACAAATAAATTTTGAAATGCAATAAAATTATTTAAAAAATCTAATCGTTAATAAGAAGTATGACCAAAACGAACAAAATAATTATTTAAAAGCATTTTGAAAAAATTATTTCTCAGAAATCCTTCAACGAAATCAACAAAATGCAATTCTCCTAATTCTGGATGTTGGAAAAAAAATTTAAAAACACTTCCTAATGTTCGTTTTTATTTTTAAAACATTCAAAAATATTTCCCAGATTTTGCATCGTTGCACGCTTCACAATTTCATACCATTGGAGCTGTTAAAATGCCAAGCAAGACAATCGACTCAATTAGAAATCTCAGGTGGGTTGTTAAGTGACGTGCCAGGGATTCAAAGAACTTCGAAGAAACCTGTTTGGCGGGAATAGTAGTCGTACTTTCCAATGGAAAAACTTTCAAGTGTGTACAACAAAAACATAACAGAAGTGTACATATTTATTTTAGCACTACTGTTACTGACTGCTCAGTTACATTTGTGTTATTAAAAATTTCTTTTTCAAAAGAGTTCTTCGTAATAACAGTTTCAACAACTCATTAAATTATTTTGTAATAAACTCAATTACTTTGAACATTGATAATTCAACAGCAATAATTTTGTTTGAACACGAAAAAAGCAAGTAGAAATGAAATTTATTAGATAGGGGCGTCATCATCGTCGGCGTCATTTTTATCAACGTTACTAATGATGCAAAATTTACATCACCTTCCAAGATAAATTGCCATCATCAAATATCATCGTCAATATTTACTAGAGTTTTATTTAATGATTGTAGCTGATATTTTCAGAATTATTTTAAATTTTAAATTCATTGCTCAGAAACGAAATGTTTTTCAGTATAAATTAAACTTGAAATTACTTCTTAAAGAAAGAATAAAAATAAATAAGACACGCTCCAATTTTTGTGCCAGCATAGCGAAGTCCAGTTATCTAAGTAGTTGTGAATAACCGTGTGTGTGTGTGTGTGTGTGTGTGTGTGTGTGTGGTATGTGTGTGTGTGGTATGTGTGTGTGTAGTGTGTGTGAGTGTGTGGGTGTTCCGGGCAAGTGGAGCTCGTTAGCTTTGGCTGGCCATCGACATAGGAAAAGGAAAACTCTGACTTCAAACCTTCGCTGCCTCCACTCCACACCCATTCATGGGAAGGCTATGGGAGTAAACCCAAACAGAAAATCACTTGCATTTACAGTTGGCTATGAAAATAGTCCTGTTCATCAACTCGGTGTCAGTTTCGAATGAACTGCTGCGTCCATACTGGTCAGTTATCACGTCACAATTCATTGTGCCTGCTGACAACGGCCTTTGTGGAAAGAGAGGGTGTGGCTAGTTCTCACTAAATTTTTCCCACCTTAAACTAATTCAATTGTGCAGGTTGTCTTCGGTAGGTGCTATGAGCTTAAAAGCTCTGCGGCGACTGAAGAATGACGACGAGCACAGGTAGAGGATACTACTGGAAGTGTCTTGCCACTATCCAGCACGTAGGCGGCCTTGGTGTGATGGTCGCTTGTTACTGAGGGCTACAGTGACGTTCGGTCCTGCCTTGGCGACAAAACAGTCCTGCTTTCTCCAACTGGAGAAAAAAGTGTCTTAAAAAAAGCTAGCCCAACAAAACTCTCTTATTGGCTGACCACGGTTGACAGAATATCTATTCTCTGCGCTAAAATATGCATAAATCCAAAAGAAAATATTGAACCTTGCGTTGGGAGTCTCACACACGACTGGCAAGTGGCCCTGTACGTAGAAACAAAGACAGCTTGAAAGAAAATATGAAAAAATGTGGTTTAGACCCCAAGGCACTTGTGTTGATATTCTGTGGCGCTCGGAATGAAGAAAGTCTACCCAGCCGGAAGTTTCCGTTTTTAAACTGGTACATACAGCTGCCCTCGCTGAAAAAAGGGTTCAACGAAAACAGACGGCCCTAAGCGGCGATAGTACAAAGTACAGGTGTATGGATCTGTGGAATATGTGCAAGAAAATGTTTGTCAAGGATAGGACTTTTTGCTCATTGTGTGTATATATGTATGTGTGTTGTGTAAGTGTGTGTGTGTGTGTGTGCGTGTGTGTGTAAAATGTATGATGTATGTATTAATGGTATTAAAAAAACAAAAAAACTAAGCATTAAATTGAAATATAGTTTTTGGTATTTACAAGTTAATATGCATCAAAGTATGTATTCAAAAATGTTTAAAAATAATTTTTTACATTCGATATGAAAATTTATTTTAAATCTGAACGATCATACATCATAAAAAAGTTCGCTGTTCAAACGATTCATTAAAAAAACTGAAAAAATTTTGTTGAAGATTGTAGCCATTCTTTTGAAAATTAACGTGTAAAATGAGTATCGAACGTTAAGTCATGTAAATACAACAATGTTGAACTTTATTCCAAATGTGAAAGCATTATCCAGTTTTATTTCAAAAATATAAAAATTTATTTAGTAGTTTCTAAGATATAATCAACTTTTTATACTTTATTAATATATATTGCAGTTTAAGCATATAAAAGTACCATGCAAAAAACCAAACAATAAAGTTTTATCTCACAAGCAGATATTTTTGTAGGAAAAGCTCATCGCCAAATTTGCTCTTTACTTATTCACGTTTTTTCATTTTACCAACAGTCTCATTTGCGAATGCGGAAATCCGACGCAGATGTACTTTGCACCGTATCAACATTCAATCTTTTAATTTTGCTGCAAATATTATTTTTGAAAAGAGTTACATTTTATTTCAAATGTCAAATTCGGAACGTTCATTATGTTTTGTTAAAATGTTCTTGATGAAGGAGATTCTTGTATTTCTCTTTTACAATGCTTTGAGTAATTAACAAAAACAAATCGTATAAAACATCAATTTTTTCAAACATCACTAACTAATTGGTTAAAGCATAATATATAACTTGCACATTACTTAAATCCAGGTTAACAAAATTCAAACCATACTAATAATTTGCTGGATGTTGTGAGTTAATTAAATCATTCACATTTTTTACTTACCTTTTAAAAGAAATTGTTTCCAAAAAATAACTTATTTTGGTTTAAAAGAACTAGGTTGGAAGAAATTTTTTACGTGGCTAAACTGTGTGGAAGTTCTAATTTAAATAAAAAAGTTTAGTTATGGTAATAAATATTCATTAGTCTAATTTTCAACTAATAACTTTTAATATTATTCAATTATTCAACAAAAAAACATGACGTGTTCAGAAGTTTTGCATCACTAACTATATTAATCACTTAACAACTCCCATGAACGTCAGTAGGTTTTACAGCAGAATGTTAATTTAGCATCAAAAGGAAACGTTTATCGATCAAATTTTTTTATCTGATGATTATACGAATATGATTAAAAATGGTTAATAGAGACAAAGTGAATATGTTGTCCACAGTAATTATAACTATATTGTTAATGATGATAACAAATAACAAAGTTGATTGTAAAAATACTTTTATTGGTTACTTAATGATTGCTAAAATAACACTTTTATTGGTCAATTAATGACACACATACACACACAAAATTACAACTTTATGAATAAGTGTAAGCACTTTGTTGGTCACACTGTTAAATAACTAATGAGAAATAAATATTTTGTACTTTGTTTTGGCTACTATAAATATGCGAGCAACTTTTCGATGTTGATTCATTCTGTTAGAACAACTCATTTATCAGTAAGCTGCCTATAACGTAGAAGCCTAACTCATCATGGCAAACAAATATGTTCTCGAAAATGCTGAGATAATAAAAATTGAACAAGAATTGATGGAGGAATTATTTGGTTTTTCTGACGAAAGCGACGATTCCGATTTCGAAAGTTTACCAGAAGTTGCTAATGAAAAGGAAATAGAAGAAACTAATTTTATTCTTAATGAAGACAAAATAACGAGTGTCTATAACGCTGAACAAATGAAAAGTCATGGAGGACGTATAGAGGATTTAATTGGTTCATTTGGTGAGGACGACGATTCTAATTTACTAAAAACAGCTGATGAGAATGAAGTGAAACAAGAAAAAGAAACAAATAAAAAAGAAATGATAAGAGATTTATTTGGTTCTTTTGATAAAGACGACGAAAATTTAACACAAGTGGCTTATGAAAAAGATACGAAAAAAGTGTATTTTAATCCTAACAAAAAAAACGGACAAAGAAAAAGAGAAATTATGATTGATTTATTTGGTTTTTGTGATGAGGATGGAAATCTTGAAGATTTACCTAAATTAGCTGCTGAAAACAAAATAAAACTAGTTCATTCTATTCCAAATGAACCGGTAATACAAACAACTTATGGTAAAAACGAGGAATCTGAATGTTTGCAAGAAGCAACACCTGACAAAAAGCAATCAAAAAAAGCCGATCCTGTCCACGATAAAAAAATGGAGAAACCAGCTGGTGATGGACAGGTAACAACGAGCAAAAGAACTGCAAAAAGTAGCACTCGCCCAAAAAATTACAAACCGTCAACATCATCAATCTGTAAACGTCAAACTTCAGATAACGGACCGATTCTTTACGGTGGTGATGTGATGATAACGAGAAAGAGAGAAGAAAGAGGGAAGAGGAAAAGAAAAATTGATGAAGTTGAAATCATTAATGACAACAAAAATATTTGTATTATTTCAGATATAATTAAAATTATGAACACAGCTGCCGAACAAGACAGAGAATTGAACGGTCAAAGAAAGCCAGCCATTCGCGTTATGCAACAACTTCCATATGTCAAAGAACAACTCAAAAATGTGGGAGTTATTCAATCACTATCAAATTCACAAATTTTGAGTTCAATAGCAATCTGGTTAGCACCGTTGCCAAATCACTCCTTGCCTTTTTTGGAAATTAGAGAGGTACTCTTGAAACAGCTTCTTGACTATCCTTCAATAGGTCGTGAAATCTTGGAAGCCAGTGGTCTCGCGGAGGCAGTCGTCAGCCTTTTAGAACATCCCAAAGAAACTATAGAAAACAAAAGCATATGCAACCAGTTGCTTAAAAAATGGGCCAAACAATTAATTTTTCAGAATGTTGAAAAACAACAACAACATAAAAAACAAAAACTGAGCACAGAAACTAAAGAAAAAAGTTGAAACGAGAAGAAAAAGGATTGATTTAAAACGAATCTGAATTTGGATAGATAGTTCAAGGAGATGAAAGAAAATTGTCAACTTGAGAGTCTAAGGAGAGTTTCAGTATAAGGAAGCATCATGCAATATGAACATATAACATAGCCATTTGACTATTTGCGTCCCAATGCACTTGTGTGACTATGTACTGTACATATTTTTAACGTAGGCGATCATCCAATCAAATTCTATAGATAATTACTGCCCTAGAAATGCTTTCATTACTTTTTTACGTGATGTTTTTCAAATTGATAAAAAATTATTAACTTCATTTGTTAGTTTATTTGAATCATTCATTTTTACTGAAAAATCAAAATTTTCAAAATAGATTTAATCTTAATTATTAAAACACGTCATCTGATTAAAATGCTAGCTTCCAACTAAGAAACATCACTCCTAACAAATAAATAATGCTAATCAATTGAAACATTCGTTATCTAACAAACTATTTCAACTCGTTCATTTAAAACTAAATATACTGATATGTAAATTAACGTAAGTGAAGCTGGTGGACGGGAAGATGATGATAGAGATGATAATGATGATATCGATGATGACGGTCTTACCATGATCAGTTGCTAGCCAAAAAGTGGCGTATCATTTTAGCTGGAATTATTTAATTATATAACTTATCATTTATTCAACGTTACCACATTTTTGAAATTTCATATACTACGTTCTGGTAATTATTTTATAACACACACATTGCTTATTAGAGAAGGAAATCTCTTGCTTTCAAATCTAAAGAAATTTAAACGAGAGAATGAAGTAGTCCAGAAACGATTCATATTGCGCTAATATTTCTGAAATACTGAGTTTCAACTACATGCTTTTTGAATTTATATTAAAATGTGAATAAACGCAAAGATTAATATTCTTTAGATTGAATATTTAAATATATGTTGGCGAACTTGCTGCGAACTTTAAAAATTGTATTTTTAAAATATTTTGTTTCACTCGAATAGATGAAGTAAATTTCAAAACTAAGCTTACGCACCGCGCCATGTTTAATGAATTTTTACGTTGAATGTTTCGTTGTTGTGTTTTTTTAATAAGTGAAATATAGTTGAAGTTTGCAGTTGAACGACGAAGGTAGCATTAAGACCTTGTTATATGGAAATATAAATTTTATTTCAATTGAAGTCAATTTTACAGATTCTAATGTTAGATTCATTGGGACGGTCGAATTTTCGAAATTACATTTAAATTTAAAATTATACTGGAAAAATCTTTTGCCAAAAATGACTAAAATGCATAAATATGAAGGCGTTATACTGGAAAAAATTCTCAACATGCAGATGCTTTTAAACTTTTTCACAAATTGAAATAAAAAATTATATTGAAGGTTTCATATATGTATAAAATTTGTTTCTAATATACAAGTATCCTATCATTTTATTAGGATAAATAGAAGCCAAAATAATGAAAGCATTTTTGAGCAATACAATAATTTTTCATTAATAAATTTTAGAAAATATTTGTGAAGACGTTAGTTTGGGGTATTTCACTGGAAATATAGATTTTATATAATGTTTTTTGTAACCAAATGAACTAGAACAATTATACAGACAGAGGATGTTGATGAAGATGACTAAGTACCGGTTAATTAAATGAAAGCGGAGCAACATGAGTGAAAATTACTAAAAGTAAGTTTGATAAGTAGTAATAACCACCATATCCCATTAAGTATGATCCATTCTTATGTACAATACATATACCACACCAATTACACATACAACCTTCAACACTCACCCAACACAATAAAATCAAATTTTGTTTGCTTGAAATCGATAGTTCAAAAAAGTACAATACTTGGAATATCACGATCTAATCTTATTTAATGATACAAGTGGAGGACATTTCGCATGGTAATGTTTATTATTTCTTAACCCGCGTTAATTATGAGATTACAATACACACAAAGCATCACAGACATTGCGTATGGCTTTGGAGGATGTCTCAGCTCCGTCACTGCAACGCAACGCAGTAGTAGGCGAGTCAACCATTACATCATCTCTCATCATCATTCATAATTCTTCATCCTCATGCTACCATGATTACCAAGTATGTAGTATGATAAGTTTTTAGTGGCGAGGAGATTAATAATAAAATTGGCAACTGGTGTTGTGAGTGAATGTGCAAGGGGGTATAACAAAACCGACAGTCCCAACCTATCTCAACCTTGATAACGACAATTTTTATCTTATTTTTGGTGGTAAATATATATGATAGTTCTGAACATTAAAGCCTGATTGTTACAAGTGGCCAATCATCTGAGCCAATAATTTTAATCGATAACTCCATTTCCAAGGCAGCAGAACATTATAGGTTTCAATTATTTATTTTAATTTATTAATTTAATACTTCAGCCCTCCAACAACTTAAAATAAATGTCCGCGTATAAATAATTATTATCAAATTAATTAAAATGAATTTGAAAAAATCAATACAATTAACCAGATGAACATCGATATAATGTACATAAAAAGTATATGCAAGGCTCAGTTGGAAGATAATAAATTGAATGTCGAAAAAATAAATGGTCACCCACACACATACGCAAATGTATATATATATACTGTCTCTACAATGTTAATTCTTTGTTTGTTTAATGTGAATACTTAACGGTCATTTTGGGCCATATGACATTCTTACGTGTCATCATTACTTAACAATAACATTGTAGAGACACAGGATGTATATATTCGAACACCGAAGATGGTTTAGAAATACCGAAAAACCTTTTGTTCTATCATGCTTAAATGTTCTATCATGCTTATAATACATACAAATATTGGTTTTGAACTCAAGGAACTTGACAATGATTTACGATCTACCATCAGAAAATCAAATATATATACAGATATATATATATATATATATATATATATATATATATATATATATATATATATATATATATATATATATATATATATATATATATATATATATATATATATATATATATATATATATATATATATATATATATATATACATACATACACACATATATATTTATATATATACTTAATTTAATTTAACAAATCATAAACACAGAGCAACGTATTGACGTGATTGACTGTACGTAGATTCAGCTGGAAATTTTCAAACACATGATACATAAATACAAAAAATGTGCTATAAGTTTGAAAGTAATGTAATCAAATTTTAATTGAAAAATGTGTAAAAATATTTGAAGTTATAAAAATAATATAAATAATAATAACAATAATACTAATGAAAACATAATAATAGCAATAATAAAAGTTCAATGAAAAACAAATTTTAAATGAAAATCCTCGGCTTTCCCTCAAATGAGTAACACAAAATAAGTCGTAAGCTGTCCCATCGAGCTAGCAAGTTATTGTTTGACCAACATACCTTTACAGCCATTTTTTGTTACACGTATGTGGGTTTTAATTAAAAATAAAATGTATAATAAACTAATAAGTTAATTAATTAATTTATTTATTTATTCATTTATTAATACTCTCAAAGAAAACGTTAAGTTTAAAATAGTTTCATGTAAAAATTTACATAAATTAAATCGGTCCCCATCATATGAATTGGACACGATGTTATTGATTACCAAATAAAATTATTGTCAAGTTGAGTTGTGTACTGAATCGTTATTAGGTTATAAAAAGAATTAAACATTCTACGCTGAGTATTGGAGCAGTAATTCGTGTAACATTAATTACATGAACCAGTCAGTCAGGGGTTGTGTGTCATCATACTATCATCTCAATCTTACTCAGTACACAATCTTCACCACCATTTTAATAATCACTACCACCATCACCACATCATCATTATCACCACCACCACATCATCATATTTTCATCATCGCCATCATCATTCTCATCATCCTGGTACCATTTTAAAGAAGTTACTCACAATATACCATATTAAATTTCACATAGAATCGGAATTAGTACAGTCTTCATCTCGAAAGTACTTCATCTTGTGTTGCACCCTCGTATGAGAAGAAACTACCTCGAGGTTGAATTGAACCAGCTACCTTCGACAAACTGCCTCAAATAATAACTTCTCTTAAAAAAATCACAACTGAAAACTGATCACAAGCAAATATAGAAAATCAGAGCTACTAAAGAAACTTAATACGCTCCTAAGAAATCTCTGAACATGAGCAAAAGATGAACATTGTTCATAAACGAGATATAAATATAAGTTATTCAAATTTAAAATTTCTTTTGAAAGTAATTATGCATTGGAAAATTTTTTTAAGATGTGTAATTTAAATTAAAAAAATTGACTGGAACGGGAACAATTATGACATCGCAAACTAGTTTAAAACTTAACCAGCAACTAAAACATTTAGACAAACAAACAAACAAACAAACAAACAAAAAAACAAGTATATATTAAATAGATGCCATCATGATTTGAAGCGTCTTGGTGATTTTCTGAAGTCAGAAATAACGTCTAACCATGTACAATTAAAATGCTGGTAATACGACGAATAAGAAGATGTCTGAAATCACATCAAAGATTAATCAGCTTGTAATTAAAAAGAATAATTAATGAATTAATTAAAGTAATTAAAATTTTGAAAAATAATATCCAGACGTATAAAATGTGGAGTTTTTTCTATTTATGTTACTCGTACAATTTTACAGTTTAAAAAATAAAATTTTATAAATGAAAATTAATAAATTAATAACAATAAACAATCATCAAAAATAAAAAGATACAACATTACTTATATTAACTAATTAATTAATTAATCTGTTAATAAATCAATTAAACCAATGCATTAACAGCGACCAGATAACAAAATTCGATGAACAGTCACGGCAAAAATTATCGTCCCAACGAACTCGCCAACAGACAAACGACACACTACATCGAAATGAGTATAAAATTATAAAATATACTCGTCGAAATGTTTGCTCACATTTGTAAAGATACAAGCACGGCGAAAAGGGTCGCAATGTATGCGTGGATAACTTTCTATCTTACCCCCATCATTCAACAAACTTCCAAATGAAACAGCACAAAGAGATTTAATGAAGTTTCTAGTAAGATATTTTAAGCTGGCTGGCCTGTTGGTATTGGTGAGGTGGAAGATGTTTTGAATGCGGTGTGCGGAAACATCAGTGACGTCATACAGCGTACACAAACATCCGCTCGTGCGGTCGATATTTAATATACATACATTAATACATTATACATACATACATATATATACAAATATATATATACAAATATATATATACAAATATATATATATATTACTCATGTTTATATAATTTATATTATAAGAAATTACGTATCGTAGCAAACTCGTGGTATTCATGCATAGCAAATGTTTAAAAAAAATGCAGACGTCATAACAGTGGGGATGGATCAATCAGAATAAAACAGAAAATAACACATCCACAACACACACACACATGCACAAACACACATAGATATATATATATATATATATTTGTGTGTGTGTGTTTACATGGATTTTAACAATACAAATAATAATCACTTGATGAAATCTAGAGAACCTTTCAGATAGAACAACGAACTAATTTCTTCTACACAAATAATTATGCTGGTGGGTGGGAATCGTCGGCGGGAAAGTTGATATCATCATCATCATCATGACCTTTCTCATCATCATCATCATCATCGTCATCATGACCTTTCACATCATCATCATCATCCTTGACATCGTCATCACTATCAACAACTACATCCTCATCATTTCATTATTGTATTCATTCACCAAAAGTCTCTCTTTATTAAAATATTTCTCAGATGTCATCAGCATCGTCATCATCACCATCATCATGACAAACAATATTATCACCACTATCATCATTATAATCATCATCATCATGACAAACAATAATCATCATCATCGTCATCATCACCATCATCATCATATGACCATCGTCACCGGTTCAACGTTCCAAAACAGATTTTATAAAAAATCATGAAAATAACCTCAAGACATCAGATACAACATAACAACAACAAAACACAACATAACAACAACAACACAACATAACAACAACAAAACACAACAACACTGTAACAAATGCACTATAACACTAGATAAAGCGGAGTGACGCAGTAGAGTCGGTCGGAGATTTTGGCCGGAAGTCGGATTTTCTTAAGGAACCGGAGTCGGATTTTTTTATCCGACTCCGAAAAATGTTTTATTGAAAAAAATTATTTTTTCTGAACTTTTTTTGAAAAGATTGTGTTTTTTTAGAGAATAAATATATGCAGTGATCATCTTTAATACTGAAAATATGTGCTAATAATGTGGATGAAATTACATAGCTTTCTTTCACTACGTTGTGAAGCATGAAAATAAATAAAGTAACTTAACTAAGAGAAACATTTACACTGACTGATTTTAAATTTCTTTTAAAGTATTTTTTAATTAGTAGTGATAATAAGATGAAATTATGATGTAAAAAGTTTAAAATTTTCTGAAATTCGCAATCCGAATCGGATTATTTCGAAGGGCTTGAGTCGGATATTTTTTATCTGACTCCAACACACTGAAGAAAACAAGCATTAAACTTATAGACAATTCAACAAACAAACACACATACACATCAGAGTAATCTTCATCATGATAATTAACATAAGCCTCACCATAACCAGTCCCAACATTACAGTCACCATTATAGATCCAATCTCATCATGAATTTTCACATTTGGTCATAATAACCATTATGAATAATTAAAAAAAATATATAAAAAAAATAATACTATTCTTAAAAAACAAAACGAATTAATACAATTTGATACGATACAATACAATACAATACAATACAATACAACACATTGAAATTCAATTACACAATACAATTCAATTACAATAAAATATGATACATTTAAATAAAGTGTAATGAAATAATTTTTGACAATTTGATTGAATATTATGGATAAATAACAATAATAATAAATAAGTCTATCTGTATATTCTTACTAGAATTCAATATAATTAAATAATCAAATAAGTAATTAATTAAAGTTAATGACAATAATAATAACAATAATAATAATGACAATAATAATAATACTATCAGCATTATTATTAAACATTCAGTAAATATTTTCAACACTGTTAACATTTCAAATTAACTTCAAAACAGGAATAAAAAAAGTAAATGTAAAAATATACTCACACATACATACACACGCACATATACATATAATATATATATATATATATATATATATATATATATATATATATATATATATTTATATATATATATATATTCAATAAACTATATAAAATAGCCAGGTGTACATATAAATGAAAATCAACTTTTTTATAATTGAGTAACAAAATAAAACACAAAAAGAAAAATAAACAAAAAAGCAATTAATTAATTTAATTAATTAGTTAATTAATGGTTTAAGTAATCAATTAATTAAATGATTAGACAAGTTAAAACTGTATACATTTAAATTACAGTTCACAAATTTGAAATTTATAACAAACAAAACAAGACAAAAAATGAAGGAAAAAAACGTAATTGTTGTGATAAAATATGAAATTTACAACTAATAAACTAGCAACAAAAACGAGTTAAACAATTGAAGCTGCCACACAGAAGCGCATCCACACACACACACACACAGACACGCACACACACACACATACACACACACAAATAAACACGCACACACACAGGCACACACACACACACAAGCACACACAGGCATATCACTGAAGCATCAATGTCTTGATATTATTTTGTAGGATGGTCTCCCTGGTGGCGGAGAAGACGAACTTGATGTTCTCAGTGTCGACGGCGGTTGTGAAGTGGTGGAAGAGTGGCAGGGTTCGATCTTTCCAGCGAGCGTCAAACAGCTGTACTTCAAACTTTTGTACATCTTCCAGGCACTTGCTGTCAGACGAACTCGGGAACTGTTCGGGAAAGTACTGTCTGTAGGGTGGTGTAGTCACGTGATGTGGTGTGATCGGGTGATGTAGTGAGTTCATTTGGTGACGTGATGTGGAGTGATGTGGTGTGGAAATATGGTAAATATGGTGACGTCATTTGGTGAAGCTATTTGGTGTAGTGTGGTCAGGTGATGTGGTGTGGTCACGTGGTGTGGAGTGGTCACGTGATGTAGTATTGTCACGTGGTGCAGTGTTCATATAGGATGTGACCATATGTAGAATTGTGGTGATTTGAAGTGGTTATGTTAAGTGATGTGGTCGTAGCATGGTAGTGTGATGAGATGTTTTGTATCATTTTCAAGATATCAAAATAGTTGCAATACTTGATTAATTAATTTGATTAATTAATTAACTAATTAATTAAATAGTGTAGGTATAATTTTGACAATCAAAATTTTTAAAATAATTAAATTATATAACACTTCTTGAGTATGTAGCAATTATATAACACTTCTTGAGTATATAGCATTTTTAAAATTTAAAATTTTTATTTGTGGTAGTGTTTCATCTGCTCTATATATCATGTAAATACATTCTTATATAATACGAAAAGAATGTATTTGCATGTACATAGAAGAGATCTAACATTAATGTATATATTACTAAAGAATGTGCCAAAGGTTATTTCTTGATTTGTTTCAATCTCATATTAAGAAATAAGATTAAAGAAGAAAAAAAAACGTAGCTACACGATCACACTTGGAAAAATTTGCATGCAATTGAAATAATTTTATGAAGAAAGACTGCCTACAAAAAATTACACACCTAAATTTTGAAGTGGCTGAAATAAAATCCTTTTTATTAACAAAAAAAGTATTAGTTTTCTTTTTTTAACAAGCATTTATGATCTTTAAAAAAAAAAAATTAATATTGTTTTTGAAACTTCTGGAACTGAAACTGAAACTAAATAAAAATAAACTTCAGGTAAATCCTAGCTAAACAAAACGCAATAAAATATGAAAAGCTAAACGTAAATGACGAAAAAATATTTAAAAACATTTCTAAACCGATTTAATATTGTAAAAAGATGAAATACAACAACTATCACCCAATTGATTATAACATTATTGCAACGGCCATCTTATAATAAAAAAAAAGAGTCTTATAATCAAAAAGAAGAGAAAGGAAGAGAGAGAGAGAGAAAGAGAGAGAAAGAGAGAGAGAGAGAGAGAGAGAGAAAGAGAGAGAGAGAGGACGGGAAGAGAGAGAGAAGAGAAGAAAGAGAGAAAACAAGAGAGTCCAATGAGATAAAACAATAATAATCATCATGGGATGTTGACAATAATTGAAAGATTGTTGGTGTTGTTAAATGAACATTTTTATCCAGTTAATAGCAAGCAGGCCATATCTCAGGCTAATATCACATGATCTTGACCTCAAAACAAACTGCCATATCATACAAATGTTGAATTATTAATTTTTATTTGGTAAGTTATTTCCATTATGTATTACGAACACGTAGTTCATAAGTTATGCTGAAAATTCATATTCATCATTTTACATGAAAATTCATGGAGCAACTAATGGATCACGAACAAACTGATCCAGCATTAAAGTAATGTAAAAATGAAAAATCAATAAAACAAAATGTTGAAACCAACACTGCAGAAAAAAAGTCAACGAAAGAGACATACATACACTCAACATATAACGAAAGCGCACCAACCGAATATCTGATGTAAGAATTTTCTCCTTCAGTAGATCAGTTTTATTTAAGAAGAGGATGATGCTGACGTTAGCGAATGTCTTGTTGTTGACGATGGCGTCAAAAATGTCGCACGACTCAACCAACCGATTTGCTCGTCGATCTTCAAGGAGTGTTTGATCGTATTCACTGGATGAGGCGAGGAAGAGAATGCACGTCACTGCTTCAAAACATTGGTACCATTTGGGTCGCTGTGAACGTTGGCCCCCGACATCGACGAATAGAAATGGGATGCCTTCATTTTCGTATATATATATAAATATACATATATATACATATATATACATATATTTATATATATATATATATACATGTTGGTAATAGACCAAATATATATATATAAAGAAGTGTGTGACTGTGTGCATATGTATAACGAATGTGATTTTATGCATGAGTGTACCTTTGAATGTATGTGTAACTCCCTTCAACAAATTCATAATGTGCATGCTACATTTGTGCGCGAATGTTTTGGAATTATGATGTAATAACATAATTTTATGCTAAAACGTTCTGTGGAATGGTTGACAGTATCAAGTTAAAATGCAGCGTTGAAAATGAACGAAATATTCAAGCTATACTTTGTCATAAAAATAAAATGAAGATAACTAGATGGATTGTTTGAATGGGTGGAGAAACTGATGCATGAGCAAAATGAAGAACAAACAAAGGGTGCAGCGGACGAATAAACGGAAGATCAGACTGTGATGAACACATATGCAGTATATACAGACATGAAAATGAAACAATTCAAACGACAAACAAATAGAAAAAGAGACTGTTGATCGGATTTGGGCACTATAGATCAGAGGTGGGCATTATAGATGGCATTATAGATCAAAGGTAGGCAAACTTTTTTGCTGAGTTCACTCTGAGACACTGATGTACATTTAGAAGTTTGTTTCTCTAAATTATAAAAATTGACTTTTTAAATTAACTTTCAAATTATGTCAAAAACTTCATTTTCACAAGGAATTTCAGATTCATAAATAATCACATCTATTTGTGAGATTAAAATGTGAAATCAAACCTTTGCCATAAATACCATTAATCTCATTGAAGTGTAAGAACAATCATTGAGTACTCAGCATTGTTCATAGTATTATTTATATTTATATTCAAGTAGAAATATTCCTCCACAAAAACTCTGATAACAATTTAGCAGTCAAGTTTTTCAAGTGTGTATGAACAAGAAAATGCTGATAAAGTGGCAAGAAATCCAAAAAAAATTGTGCAGATACTTCTGAAACCTTGATGTCCATTTAGATGTTTAAGATTGGGTGTAAATAAATGTAGAGAATACGGTTCTTGTGAGTAAAAGTGAAAAGCGTATGATGCTTGAGAAACGCATACAATGAACAGGCGAGCCACAAGTCTCCCAACTCTAATACATGAGAACCATTAGAGCTCAACTATCCATTGTGAAACAGAAAATAAATAAACACATGGATGTAAAGTATACATGACGTGCAAATTTAGGCATAATTAAAAGGACCTTTGATGATGAACTCGTACTCGGATATGCTTTTCGTGGGTTTTCGAGCATGTAGGATGTCCTGGTTGGATGGCACATAGCTCTGCAGTGTTGGTGGTGGTGGAAAGTTATTAAATTTAATAATTACATTCATTTTATGATAATTACCCATTGTTATAAATATCACAAATTTAAAAATAATATGTTGACCAATTTTTTCAGCAACAAACTGCAGTAGGTTCATTCTGATTCATGCTAAGAATATATATACAAGCTGGCATTCTTTAATTTATTGCCAGGCTTTCCTAAGCAATGAATCTTTAATGTAAAATTTTTTGTGGCTAAAATGAGAATGATGAATTGAAGAATATGCTTGATGCCACTGAAGCTGATTCATAGCTTTTGGATGCCCCAGTATTTAATGGCCACCAATGTACAGTGTACAAGTGTGCATATGCATCTAAGAGAGATAGCATGGGAAAAAATATAAAGATAAATAAACTGTTAAAATCATCTTGTACATTATGTAGCAAAATCAGCATATCATTTATGACAAATTATAACATTCAAAGAACTTCAGTCTGTACTAATTATGTTTGTGAATCACAAATTGAACAGATGAATAAAATGAAGGCAATAACACACTCAACAAAATAAAATATCACTCAATAATAAATTGAATTTATACAAAAACAATTTTTTTTAAATTTGATAAGGAAAACAATGAAGTTTGAAGCAGGAGACATTTGAACACAGAGCATAACTGCATAAGACACAACAATATAACAAAGACACAAAGTAACATTAACTGCATACACTGAAAACAACATTGAAATGACACAATGATGCAATAAACAACATCAATTAAAACATTACATTTCATTACTCTATTAAACAAAATCAACAATAAATTAAAACTTTTTAAAAACATTCCAAAAGACTACAAATTCAGACCTGGGTATGTGTTGAATTTTGCCCAATAAACACCAAAACCTGTCAACCACACCGTGCAACAAACACATCCACAATTACATTTTGATTTAAAAGTGAGCACAACATTATATTAATGAAAGAGTTTTGAGAAGACACCATTTGAACTAAGTAGCTGTTAAAGCGACAGCAAAAAATGATAAGCATCATAAACTGTTGAACATTATAACACCTATCAAAAGCTACAATACACAGTAGAATTTAAACACCATATGACAACATGCAACAATGAACTACAAAATACAAACATACAACAACGACAGCACATAAAAAAGAGCTAACCATTGAGCTGATTCGTTCTATATTTTCCATGAAGTATTTTAATGAGTCTCCCTTCAGAAAATAAATTGAGTAGTTGATCATATATTATAAGTGCTTGATCATCATACAAATCATTACCATATCTGATTTTATTACAATCCCAAATTTCTAAAACATTTATGTATAACAAATATATTTATGCAAAAAATAAAAAACAAACATACAAACACAAAACAGCACAGACATGCAAACATATTTTTAAAAATCTTGAACAAAAAAATGGAGAAGCAATTTACATTTTTATCACTATATTAATTAAGATTGTATTTTCACTAAAACAAAATTTGTGGTTTCTTAAGATATTTAAGGTTTAAAAATAATAAAAAAATTAATTATTTGAATTCAATTCAAAGATTTTTAACACAAAAGTAGAGAGAATTAATAACCATATGAGAAAAACCATACATAAATCTTATCTGACACAAAAAGCAAAGTCAATGAAATTATTAATCATATGACATCAACTAAATCTAAATCAACTAAGAAATAATTTTGCAAACATTTATTACCTTAACAGAAGAACATGACCACACCAAACCTAACCAGACCTTGCTTACCTTTTTTCTGACACATGCAGAACCTCTTACATACCACCCTGCATTTAAACCTTCATGCTACAAAGACTTAACGAAGTGCACACACATTATGTATAACATAACTTTTTTTTATCAAAATCTACTCTAATTTTCCATTGATCACTATTATTTCATATTAGTTAAAAAAATTTAAATAACCCTTTAGCTAGCTAATGTTTTATAATATAATAATTTAACAATGAAGACAATAATTAGAATGTATTGTTTATTAAATTAAATTGAATTTGGAAAAAAAATTAATAAAAAGTAAACCGTCGGCAGGAAATAAATTAGAAGAAACAAAACCAACAAGATGGAACTCCTTCCTGCGACTGAATGCCTCTTGAATACCACCATCCTCCCAGAGTTCAATTAGGGATGTGACATACTGAGTGAAGACAGGTTCCTCCAGTTTGATATTGTTGTCATAACTGAACACGAACTGTGCATGAGTGTGACTGGCCGGCTGTTGGAAAGTTAGTTGCAGTTTCGCCCTGGCGTCAATCAGGACCTTCATACCCTTCACGATGTTTTCGTAGATGGTCGTTTTGTAGACTTTTAATTCGTCGGGTTGGAATTCTTTGCCGTTGATAATTCTCATCTGTTTGATGAACGTACTTTTGCCACTCTCGCCAGATCCCAGCAGAAGTAATTTTATCGTCCGGCGCAACTTGCTTCTATCTTTAGAAAGTTGTTTGTCAATTTGTTGACTGCGGATGTAGGGTTTTCGGCGGTTTGGATCTTTCGGAGAACAACAACCGAAAAACACCGTCGCCATTTTGGTGTAGTTTGTTTTCTTCTCGATAGAAATGTTACATTTATTTCTAAATGAAAAGAATGGTCACAAGCTTTTGGCACCGGTTCTTAGATTAACTTTTAAATATTAACTTATTTAATAATTTAAAAAATTTGCTAAGAAGCATTTAAAAAATTTCAATTAATTGTTTTGTGCGTGATTTTTATACACTTTACAATTTGACATCTTATGATTTATATTTAGTTGAGTCAATTTGTGTGTGTGTGTGTATATATATATATTAATATATATATATATATATATATATATATATATATATATATATATATATATATATATATATATATATATATATATATATATATATATATATATATATATATATATATATATATATATATATATATATATATATATATATATATATATATATATATATATATATATATATATATATAT